CTGAAGTCGGGGCAGTCTTCTGGGAATGAGCCCACAACATGCAGGTTCTGCACTAACTCCAGGAAGTTAGTGTCAGAAATGTACTAGAATGGAGGACACCCAGCTGGTGTGACAGAACTGAAGAATTGGTTGTTGTTTGGAAAATCAAACAAGGTCTCAACATTAACATCTGTGGTATTCCTGCCAAAAGGGCCTACCTTGAATCTATTCATGAGAGCCATTCTACAAATAAGTGGCCTCTATCTTTTAAAAATGTCGCAATCAAGAAAGACAAAGAAATGCTGAGAAATTGTTCCAGACAGAAAGGAAACCAGACAGACATGACCACTGTATGCAATAAAAGATTCCAGACTGGGGGGAAGAAATTATAAAGGTTATTATTGGGGCACGATGAAATTTTGACTACCGACTATTAAATAATAGTATTGTAACAGATTAGATATTCTATTAATGTAAAATTTCCTGCTTTCCCTAATTCCATTATAGCTGTGTAAGAGAGTATTCTTATTAAAAATATAAAGAAAAAAGTATGTCTCCAACTTATGAAATGGTTCAGAAAAAACTATAAGCATATATTACTGCATTAGAGAAAGCGAGAGCACAAGCAGAAATGATAAAGCAAAATAGAGGATCCTGGTAAGGGCGTGTGGAAGTTTCTTATACGGGTCTTGCAACTGTTCTGTGACTATGAAATTATATCAAGAGAAAAATAACAGAAAACAAAGAAAGGAAACAATACAGAGGAACTGCCAAATCATAAGGCTGGTTTTCTTCCACAAAGTGGAATTTTTAAGAGAATGCCTAAAAGTGAGTAGAACAGAGAACAGGCTCAGACACAGCAGTTCCCAAACTCTGTTCCCTAGGGCACAATTCTATCATAAGAGATGAGTTAAATGGATTTATCTCAATTCAAACAGTTGCAAGTGTTCTTTTTTTCTCTTTAAAATTCACTTTGGAAATAATCTTATTCATCAGAAAGTCACTAGAGAGAGTTCATATTTCTTTTTTTTGGGGACAGAGCCTCAAGCTGTCTCCCTGGGTAGAGTGCCATGACATCACAGATCACAGCAACTTCCAACTCCTGGGCTCAAGCAAGTCTTCTGCTTCAGCCTGAAGAAGGTAGCTGGGACCACAGGTGCCGGTCACAACACCCAGCTATTTTTTTTTTTTGATTGCAGCCGTCATTTTTGTTTGGCAGGCCCAGGCTGGATTCGAACCTACCAGCTCAGGTGTATGTAGCTGGCGCCTTAGCCACTTGAGCCACAGGAACCGAGCTGAGAGTTCATATTTCTTTAGGAAAATATCTTGGTAAATAACTTTAAGTGAAAAGTGAGACCTGTTGGTGAGAAAAGGTGAAAAATTGTATCTCTGGAAAAAGAATAAAAAGGGGGGGATAAAGTGGGGGTGAGAGGAATAGCAGTTCCACTGGGAAAGGCCACAAAAATAGCCATGGGACCCCATCCTAAAACCCTCCCAGTTCTCCCTCCAGAAATCCTGCTACACATGGGAGCGGCTCCTATGGAAACAGGAGAAGAGTCTGAGTTTTGGATTCCAGGTGACTTGGGAGAAAGCGGGTGTTTTTGACAAGTGAAACAGGGAAGAGGTGTTTAAGACAATAATCCAGCACAGGGGTAAGATGACATCTACTTTTCATATATAAGGAAAACACCAAACACATTTATATAGTTATTTTCATTACATCTTATTCTAAGGGTTAACATCTAACTTCTTGCTAATAAATGTGTTAATATCTTATTATTAACATGGTGCCGCATTCAAGGAAGTTGAATGGGTGTTGGGCTGATGTAGGAGACAATATGTGATCAAACTTCAATATGCAGGCAGCATTTACCAACTAATCCTTTCAATGATATTTATGATCTAATTGAGAATCATATTTTAAAATATGAATGTGCTATTTTATTAGTAATAATAGAGTATTCAAATTTATATCATTTTATATCATTCCGTTACAAAGGTTTAAAAAGTGAATTAAACATTGACAATTTCTTATTATTAATTTATTTTATGGGACTTTTTTAATAGGTAGATTCTGAGTACCATTATATTTCATAGCCACCTCTTGGTTTCCCACTGAGATAGAACCTTTAAAGTCTGGTGGTCCAATAAGCTTAAGAAATGTTGCTGTGGAGTGTCATTTTTACAGAGACACAATTAAAGGGGTGGGACTCAGAAACCATTAGCATGTATTTTCATATCTTGACTCCCTTTTAAAAAAGGATATGAAAGACAGTAATATTTTGATTATTCAAGTTATGGGTGGAGCTTAGTGGATTGTCCACTAGCCAACTAACTTCAAAGGCTAAACCAGATCACAGATCCACCCCCACAACTTCTAAAGAAATTCCTGGTACATGAATAACTTCTGCAAGGCCACTAAACACAGGTCACGAGTACACAGGGTGAAGCAGCAACACAAGGAATCCACAGGCTGAGAGGCTGCACCCTGGGAGCTGCGTAGATTGAGGACACTGGCTGTGTTAGACAGCAGCACAAGAATTAAATCATTATCAACTATAAAACAAAAAATACATTGTCAAAACTGTAAAGATGGTAAGCAGATTAAATACGGTGCATGCGCAAGTGAAGAACTCTCAAGGCCAGACACGCTCAGGGCCACGTAGACAAGTGAAAGCTTTCTCAGCAAAGCTGAAGAATATTTATGGTGCTACTGTACTTGGGACTATAGTGCCATTGAAAAGTGGTAACCCAGCTGTCATCTAAGACAGGAAGGGAATTCTGCAAATTTGGCAGCAATCCTTCAGCTGTGTCCTTAATACCCCTCTTGGAAACTGCCATGGTGTGACGTTACTACAGAGCTCAGGGAGGTCACAGAGATAACTCTGTGAAGACTGGTAAATCTTTCACTTTTGAACACATTGCTTACAGAGAAAGCATTCTCAAAAAATATTTCGGGATTTACCCTAGCTAAACTATCACATCCCAAATCTCAGCCCTCTGCCAAGTTCAGCAGACTCTATTTCTTCACTTCTTCATCTGAAATCCATTCCTATTTTATTTTCTTTCTTTTTAGAGACAGGGTCTTGCTCTGTTGTTGCTCAGGCTGGCAGGCAGTGGAATCATCATAGTCACTGCAATCTCCAACTCTTGGGGCTCAATCAATCCTCCTGCCTCAACCTCTGGAATACCTGGGATTACAGGTGTATACCACCATGCCCAGTGAATTGTTTTCATTTTTTGTGGAAACAGGGTCTTAGTATGTTGCTCAGGCTGGTCTCTAACTCCTAGGCTCAAGCCATCCTTACGCCTGGCTCTCCCAAAATGCTGGGATTATAGGCATGAGCCACCACGCTCATCCCATTCCCTTTTTTTGATCTTTAAGGTCAGTATCCTTGCTCAGGTCTTCACTTCCTTATACTTAGGCTACTAAAATAATTTTCTAATCTTCCAGCTTCTAGTATGTTCCTTCTAATTCATTTTATGACTGCTATGAAATTCATCTTTCTAACGCACAGTTTAAATTATACTGGTCCCCCTTTCAAAACATCTTTAATTACTCCTCATGGCTCTGAGCCAAATACACAGCGGGCACCCCAAAAATGTATACACAGTTTAAGAAATGAAAGACCTGTATTAAAGTTGTAATAATCAATATGTACTGATAATATTTGTTATCTCATGTAGTGTATTTTGTATCTCTTGTAGTTGCAGAAGTTAAACATGACTTGAGTATTACAACTTTATTGCGGTTTTTCCATTTCTTAAAATGCGTATACATTTTTTGGCCCCCTCTATGTATTCCTCAGCCTGGTATTCAGGACCCCAGTAATTCCAGGGCCTGCTCTGGCAGCTTCTCAATGTGTATCCACTTATCCATACATTTCCACAATTCAAAGCTCCTGTCTCTTCAAATTCCTCTTCACCTCTGGATCTCACCATGCAGAAATCTCAATGTATTCAAATCTTATGTATTTTCCAGGGTCTATTATCAAGCATTGCTTCCTCAAAGAAATTTTCTTCCATCTTTCAAACCACATATCCTATTCCACTTCTCTGAACCCCACTATGTACCACATTTCCTTAGCATTCGTTATTTCTATTTACCTATCACATCTACTATTATTTTTATTCAGTCAATATTTACTAAGACCTAACTATATATATGCCAAATGCTGTATCAGACACACAGGAGCGATAAGATAGCTATGACCTTCCAAACTACATAAAGCTAGCCAGAATCTTATAAGGCACCCCACAATAGGGAGCTAGCAGTAGTTCTGTCGAGGTACAATAAAATATCTCATAAACATACAAAGTGTCATTCCTTTAAGACTCTCTGTTTAAAATCATAATTCTCTCAATAGAAAGGATCATTTTAAATGGGAAATGTGAAGAGTCTTACAGTGTAACCTTTACGTCCATAATTAAAGATCTGAGTATAGCCATAGCAAAAGTGGAGGAAACAGCTTATCTTCCCAGTGTAATATTTCGGAGCAAAAAATTTCAATTTTTTTTGAAGACATTTGTTTAAATCTATTTATTTAAAAAAACAAATCAAAGAGGAGGGAAGAAAACATCAGGCTTTGGTATCAATGGGACTTTAAATGAATGAATATGATTAACTAAATGAAGGAATGAATGAACACAGGGACTACAGGTTGACTTATCATTTTAGAATCTCAGTAAAATCTTGAGAGGTTCAAGCAGAGATAACATACAGAGGGATCAGATAAAAAAGTGATCAGATAAAAATCTGAGAGACTACAACTACAGGATGAGCTGTCTTCAACTGTCATTAAAGAGAAAAACAAGGCAAAATTTCTCTCAGCTCCCTATCCTTGATTGAACCACCGGTGAAGAAACTCTAGCATTTAAAGATGGGAAAGTTCTTAGCGTACATTCTAGTTTTAAGTAAGTACGCAAAGCATTACATATCAGTTTCAAATATCCCACCATTTCTAACTGCTGCCATATTCCCCTCCCAACTGCCCACCCTGCTTTCACAGGCCCCTACTTACCTCATACGCATCTTTGATGTTCAAGGGCTCACCAAGCGCGGCCACGTGTCCCACAATGCCTTTGTTCCATTCTAGGCGGATACAGTTATTGGAAGCTTCTTCCAATGTTGAACCTTCGGCAACATCAAAGAGGCGGCTGATAAGAAACTTGTCATTAGAACTGTCCTCACAGACAAGGAAGAGGGAATAGCGGTCAGCAGAGATGAGTCCATGGATGTGCAAGAAAATTTTGTGACATAAGGCTGTGACATCCAAATGACTAGATATATCTTTCACTAATTCCAAGAGTCTTGAGCACTGGTCCCCATCATCATTATCAAACCTTGGTGGGGTTAGAGGCATCTGTTCCTTCTTTTCTGAGTCAGAGAGGAAGCTCACAGTTCCCTCAGAATCCTTGACAACAATGGGTCTAAGAGGCCGGTCAAATTCAGAGGCAGAGATTTTCCTGGTTGGTGTTCCAGGGGCACTGTTATCTGCACGAGGACTCTGCTGCAAGGGGCAAGAGCAAGACTCGGTGTGGCCTCTGATGCCTTCCTTGCACACTGGGATGGTGTGAACTCTCTCAGCAAACCATGCATTGACCATTTCTCTGCAGAATGAAACATGCAGACACATTAGATAATTAAAGAGGAAGGGGGCTACTCCTGAAAGTGTCTAAAAATCCTCTCACGATAAACTAATTCGGCAATAATTTGCTTTGTCATAAAAAAAATAAAAACAAGGTGGCTGATTCAACACAATTTGATTTTGAAAAAATGTAGAAGACAGTTGCTTCAGTAAACATCTTAATGAAGTCTGACTTCCACATACATGTAATTCATCTGATCTGCAACATACCAAGCATCAAGTCTACTTCTCTCAAATTAATTAATTTACTATTTATTTATTTATTTTTTGGAGATAGAGCCGCACTCTGTTGCCCTGGAGAGAGTGCCAGGGCATCATTCTAGATAATAGCAACCTCAAACTCGTAGGCTCAAGAGATCTTTTTGCCTTAGTTTTTCTATTTTTTTTTTTTAGTAGCAACAGGGGTCTTGTTCTGGTTCAGGCTCTTCTTGAACTTGTCAGCTCAAGCAATCCACCCACCACAGCTTCCCAGAGTGCTAGGATTACAGGCAGAAGCCACTGTGTCCAGCCTTCTCAAAATTAATTTATGTTAAAAAGTCAAAGACACTAAATTTGACAATCAAAAGAAAACAAATATGGAAGCTAATCTGATGTCTTAAACACAAAATTTGTTCTGAAGTTAGATATTTGAAAATGAAAAACAAATATTTATCTAAATTTGGCTTGTTAGTATACATACATAATTTTAGACAGTTCTATGTATATTGGGAAGGTAAGATTTAGAAGAGAAAATAGAAATTATAAATAATTTAATCTAGTGTATCAAAAGAGTATCAATTTCTATAAATATTATCCTAATAATGCTCATCTAATATTGATAAAATTATCTTTCTAGATTATCAACTCCTTGTATAAAGGAGGAAAGTTTAAAAGTAGGCATCATCTAAGTTAAAAAATGCAGTCCAAAAAACCCTGAAGTTATTTATGCTTTTAATGTACCTTCCTGTAAAAAAAACCTACTTAAGCTAAGACCTTCAGAGAGGATGATTTTTTTAAATTAACACAGCAGATCACACACAACTCAAATGAGTGTTATTCAATTCAAATAATTCCCCTTAGAAAGCTATAATCTTATACCAATTAATGATACCATTACTTTAGAAATTTCTGGAACTTTTCTTTTGAAATGGACTTCTTCTGAGACAATTTATAATCCTGAGTTTTATCTAAAAATCAGATTTTGTTTTTCACTAACTCCTCTCAAAACAAAAAAGCCTACTGTAACAGCTAACTTAATTATCTGTCTCTTAATAATTAGACTTAACTTTGTTCAAAACTCAAATTCACTGTCAAAAGACAAAAACTCAGTACCACCGAGGATATTTAAAAGTATTTGCCTATGGTAAGAGCAAGGCAATCTCCAATATACAATGACATAATCAATTGTTTACACCAATCGGCCAAGATAAAACATTTTGATAATGTACTATTTTGGAGAGAGTATACACATACAGTCATTCTCCAATCTTTATGGCTGTTGTGCAAACTGATAGTACCCCTTTGGAGTGCAACCAGGAAATACGTAACAAATTTTAAACTCCATCTATCCTTTGTTACAGAGATTTTACACTTGTGGCAATGGAAATACACAAGGGTACTTACCACGGTATAGTTTGCTATAGCAAAGATAAGAAGCAACCTATTATTACCAACAGAAAGCTGACTGAATACATCATAGCACATTTATACAATTGAACACTAGGGAGACATTAAAATGGTTATATGTACTGATATGAAAAATCTTTACAATTTATTAAGTGGTAAAAGAGTATTCAAAACAGTTTGAAAAGAAGTTACCTGGGGCTGAGCACAGTGGCTCAGGCCTGTAATCCCAACTCTTAAGAGGGGGAGGAGGGGGAAGGAAGGGGGGAGGATTGCCTGAGCTCACAGGTTCAAGACCAGTCTGAGCCCAGAGTGAGACCTCGCCTCTAAAAATAGCCAGGCATTGTGGAAGACACCTGTAGCCTTAGCTACTTGGGAGGCTGAGGCAAAAGAATCACCTGAGCCCAGGAGTTTGAGGTTGCTGTGCGCTATGACGCTATAGCACTCTACCAAAGGTGACAAAGTGAGACTCTGTCTCAAAAGAAAAGCAGTTGCCTGATTTCTGAATCCACCCTGAGTCACCCATTTAGGAGATGGTCCCCTAATTATTTTATTTTGAGGAATGATGTTTTTTTTTTTTTAACATATATTACTGTGAAATCGTGATCAGTCTAGAATGGAATGGGTCAAAATAAAAAGGTAAATACTATCTCCCTCATACTTTCACACATTGGATGCAATTATAAAAATCTTTAAAAATATCTCTTTAAAAACCTGTATTCAGGCTCAGCACCTGTGGCTCAAGTGGCTAAGGCGCCAGCCACATACACCTAAGGTGGCGGGTTCAAATCCAGGCCCTCCAAACAACAATGACAACTGCAACCAAAAAATAGCTGGGTGTTGTGGCGGGCACCTGTGGTCCCAGCTACTTGGGAGGCTGAGGCAGGAGACTCACTTGAGCCTAGGAGTTGGAGGTTGCTGTGAGCTGTGATGCCACGGCACTCTACCCAGGCGGACAGCTTGAGGCTCTGTCTCAAAAAAAAAAACCTGTATTCAACGTATACAAAATGTTAAGTTAGGAGAAATAAATTCAAGAGATCCATGGTATGATAAAATATGGGGACCACAGTTGATAATAACATGTACTTGAAAATAGCTAACAAGTAGATTTTTAACTGTTCTCACCACAAAAAAAACTGATACCTATATGAAGTACCTGCATATGTTATGGCTTGATTTAGCCATTCCACAATGTATACCTATATCAAAACATCATGTTGTATACCATAAATTTATAAAATTTTATTTGCTGATTAAAAAATAAAGTTTTAAAAATCCAATATGCAATTTTTAACAACCAATCTCAACGGTCTTGTGAACTGACTGACTTTATAATAAAGAGGTATTAGAAATATGAACTAAGAACAAAAGCAATGTAGTAGATAGGTACATAGTACAGATCACAAGCACATATTATATACCTACACTATTTATTTGTTTATTTTTAAACAGAGTCTCACCCTGTTGCCGAGGTTGGAGTGCAGTGGCGTGATCATAGCTCACTGCAGATGGGAACTACTGAACTCAAGTGATCTTCCTGTTTCAGCTTCCCAAGTACTCGGGACTAGAGGAAGGTGCCACCACACCCAGCTGTTTATTTTTAATTGTCTGCACAGAATGGGTCTCACTGTTGTTCAAGCTAGCCTTGAACTCCTTGACTCAAGCAATCCACCCTCTTTGGTCTCCCAAAGTGCTGGGATTACAGGTATGAGCCATCATGCCTGGTTAGCTACATAGATTGTTTTAAAAAGGTAACTGTCCTAATGTTTTATAGATGCATGTTGTGGCTTAGGAACAAATTTCCAATGAGGACAACATATACTGATTAAAGTAATTCTGTATCTCAAAAACTTAGAAACAAAGGGATACATTCCAGGAAATGTTTATGTAACACCCCCCCCCAATTAAATTAGTAGTGCCAAAGTCGCTGAAGTTAAAAATACATGCAAAGCTAACCAAACATACAGGAAGGATTGGAATAAAACTGTTCTGTAAAGAGCAAGATAGGAAAGAAGCAATATGTCTAAATTAACATATCCAGTAATTTTAAACATAGATGTAACTAAATTGTTGAATTAATATAAAAATGGGGGCTCCACACCTATACCTCAACCGGCTAAGGTGCCAGCCAGGTACACCAAAGCTGGTGGGTTCGAATCCAGCCCAGGCTTGCCAAACAACAATGACAACTACAACCAAAAAATAGCCGGTGCCTGTAGTCCCAGCTACTTGGGAGGCTGAGGCAAGACAATCACTTAAGCCCAGGAGTTGGAGGTTGCTGTGAGCTGTGATGCCACAGCACTCTACCCAGGGCAACAGCTTAAGGCTCTGTCTAAAAAAAAAAAATTATATATATAGGCATTTATATATAGGCATTTTGACTATTTCAGCTTTTCAGCTACAAACCTAAAACTTAGCCCCTAATTATTTCTTATCTTCTCAATGAAAAATAGAGATCTCCTTTTAAATCTTTTAATCAAAAACTTGACACCTCTGAGTGGATGTCTAAACAGAAAAATGTTGAAAACAGAATTCCTAGTAGAGGGGAAACTGAGGACTTCTCATTTTAAAATTGTTCTTTTGTAAGCACCAAAGGAAACAAGAAAAACTTCATCCTTCTCTGCTGCACCCCTTCTAACAAAAAGATTTCTTTTGTAAAATTTGGATTCAGTCAAAAGGGTACATTCAAGGGTCCAGAAGGCCACAGGAGGCCCTAAGGCCAAAAGTTCCCCACCCTGCCGGTGGCAGCAGCTGGCCTCGTTGGCACACCTCAACCACAGCAAGCTTTAAGTGCCCTGGTCTGGGATGCCCTCCCCACACCTGCCCGTGGCCCATGAGCTCCCACATATCCCGCTCAGACAACTCCTACAGTGGCTATGACACATCCTGTTCTTACTCTGCACTCTGACTTAGCATGCTCTGCTATTTTTCTTGTTTATCAGTCTACTGGTACATGGTCTGTGTCCTCTGACTAGATGTAAACGTCATCGGAGCTACTTCTCTGTCTCGCTCACTCCTGCATCTCTGTACTCTTTTCTCATATGGTAGCCCGTCCTCAACAAAATAGTTCCTGAAAGAAAGAAATGAGGGAATAAATAAAGGCTGCTCAAGCATCAAAAGGGACAGCAGTCTTTTGAATATCTGAACATTGGAGTATTTGTTAAACAGAATCAACACTATGTTGTAGCTATTAATGTGCATCATCCCTTGGATAGAAGACTCACAACTGATTACGGCTAATTTATTCACCTAAAACCTGCAGGGCCTAGTACAGCATATGTGTTAGTCAGAGTGATCACTTAAAAATTCTTTGTCATGTATTTTTGATTACCATGTTTAAGTATCTTCTAAGTGTTTTAT